TAAAAATGCCTACCAAGAAGTTTCAGAATGCCTATGTACTTCATATAAACAGAAAATAAATCATTATTTAGAAAAGTTTTTTTAAAAAGCCCAAGTAAATGGAGTAAAATCCCATGTTCATGCAATAGATGAAATATTATAAAAACATGAATTTCTTCTAAATATATTCAATCTTATAGATTCAATGCAATCTTTCTTATATTGTGATTCTGTGCAGTATGATTATGAGTGCATGTACACTGAAAAATCTAACCCCAAAATTTAAATAAAATGAAAAGGGCCCTGATCCCCAGTCAACCATGAATCACCTATAAACAAAGATATATTATTTGAATATTTTAACTGAGACATCGTGGTATCATCACAGTATAAACAAGTAGACAAATGGAACAGATTCGTGTCCAAAGAGAATCACATAAAATTTCAATGATGACAAAAAGAAACTAAAGAATACCAAGGAAAGCTCAGCTACCATGACAAACATTGCTAGGTCATGGGAATATTGCCTGAGGAAGATGAATTTTGGTTCCTATGTTATTGTGTCACACCAAAAATAAATTCAAGATGAATTCGAGTTGAACTGTGAAACATAAAATGAAACTTTTAGAATGCAAAACAGGAAATTACGTTGAAAATACTGGGATGTGAAGATGTCTAAATCTGGACCTAAAAAGACTCATCAATAGAGATATTGCTATTAAAATGTCTCCAGAAGACGTCATTGAAAGGGTAAGAAGTTAAGCCAGAGAATGGAACAAATATTAAGAACACATGTAACTCAAGCGCAAGGACCCGAGTTTGATCCCTGGTACAAAAAAAAAAAAAAAAAGAATACATGTAACCAACAAATGCATTTCTTGCAATAATAAATTGTACAAATTTTTTCAAAAGAAACAGGAAAGCTAGGCAGAATACTGGAACAAGAACTCTACAGAAGTTAAACTCAAACAGACAGTAACTGACAGAAAAAGAAAATTGATGTCAGCCATAAAAAAATAAGCGCAAATTAAACAATATGTCATGATTACTTACACACTAGAAAGGCTAACAGGAAAATAATACCACATGTTGGAGAGAAGATACAGTAAATAAAACTCTTACTACACTGATGGTGGGAGTGCAAATCAATACAGCTTTTTACAACATCGACTGGCAAAATTTAGCACATTTCAAAATACGCTTTCTCCTTCACTCAAAAATCTCAAGGCTAAATATTCATTTGAAATACATGTATATAAAAATATCTGAACAAGAATGTTTGTAGCAGCACTTTGACAGTTATCAATCCTGTGTTTAACAAATGACTTGTGTTAAAATTGTTTTACTTTTTTTATAATATGTAATTATTTCTAAAATCAAGATGTTTTTATTTTGATAAGTTCCTGACAGCTAGTAGACAGAGTATTGCCTTTCTGTACAGGACAAAATAAACATTTATTTCTAGCCAATACTTTTGTCACTCTTTGCTATTCAAATCACAAATAATTTATTCAAATTAATTTAAATATAATTTGTGTAATTCATTTACTTGAAATTTGCGAACCATTCTTTCAGATTAATTTTTCACTTTTCAGTAATTATCTTCTTTGTTTTCTTTTCTTTGTTTTGCTTTGCTTTCTCAGGCAAAAGCACCTGGTTCTAAATCACTTCTCTACTGTTTAATTTGCTGTCTATATAAATATTGCTTATAACATTTGGGGAAATAAACATTCAGAATTCAGTCTGTAATTAAACTATTGGTTTATATTTAAAACTAATTTATTGTAAATATGTTATGATCAATTTTTATTCTTAAAGCATGAAAATGGAATAAAGCTTAAAAAATTAATGAGTCTTCAACTGCAGTGGGAGTTTTCAAAGAGAATAACTTTTGCTGTCTGTTTAGGGTACACTTTTGGGAAGTTTTCATTTCACAGCCAATTTTCGTCCCTATATACTGGCACTTCTCTTACCTGAGAGCTATAAGCTTTAATAGAGTCTCTGACACAGAGCTCACATTCTGATCAAGCAGGCCAAGGTGAGACGCAGGAAAGCGCGATAGCTTAAATACAAAAAGAACCCGCTACCATCCTTGCTACTGCTTTTTTTTTTTTTTTTTTTAAACTGGCCGCCAGAGGCCAAGAAAAGAAGGTTTAGAATTAAATTTTAGGAGAAAAACATAAAGACACAATTCATTATTATTGATGGTTCCGGAATGCTTATTCCCTTAAGTTCCAAAACAGATATTCATTTCATTTTGGAAATAACTGTGTATGCGTTCAGGATAAGAGATGAATCCACAGAGTTGCTCAATGTAGAAAAATATGTTTAGAGTCACTAACGTGAAAAAAAATATAATGGCTACTGAGTGTTTTGAACTTAAGTGATCACTCCCTACATGTCTAGGCTCAGTGTGCTTGTTAGGAGTGGAGGGGGACTGAAGATTTGATTTTGATTTGGCTTGATTTTAGTGGCATTATATAAAGTTAAATGTCATCACCATTCCACATACTAATTAAAAGATTATTCTTGCACATTTGAAATATTACCTGCCACTGAAAACAAGTAAATCTAAGTCAAAAGTATGGGTTGTCTAAAAAAAGCATTAACATTTTAAAATTACTTCCAGAAAATTTCTGAAGTATAAAAAATGATATGAATTTATTTCTTTTTTGTCCATGTTGGGTTTGAAACCAAGTCTTGCACATGCTGGGAAAGTGCTCTACCAATAAGCTTTAACTTCAAGCCCCGGCAGGCATTTCTAAATGTAGGTTAGGGTATACAAATATGTATGTGAATGTAAGACATGTTAATGTTTTCCCAATTTCTCTGAAATATGAGTGCTTCATACTTGAGAATTAAACCTTTGTAAATTAATTTAGTATTGTTTAGGACACTACTTTTGGTTCTTTTCTCAGTTCTCTTGATTTTTTTATTTTTGTAAAATGATAAAGTCTACCTGGCAAACTGTATTTGAAAAAAAATTATTCTTCAGCACTGAATAACTAAAGTCTAAAATATGACTTCAGACAGAGTTATTCATATGAAGTGATTGTGACAAAAGCCAGACTGGATTTTATTGAATAATAAATTAAATTTAAAGAACATTGTCTTTTCCCTAGAATTACAATATATTGTACATTATTTCTTTTGAATTGATTTGTACTAAAAAATTGCCCAGCAAAAAAGTAAACAGTACAATAAACTTCCTGTATTCATTACTTAGATTCAACAACTAAAACCATAGCAACAATGCTATCCTGTGAGGAAGAAAAATGCCATTAATTCTTTATTAAAATCTCATACTAAGTTTTTGATATCTCTTAAATAACTTTTAATTTTTGTTATGTTTGAATTGGGGTCCAAATGAGGTGCACTAACTTTATTTTATTATGTTTCTAACTCATGTTTAATTTAGAGCAATTATTTCTTTGGATTTATTTATTCATTATTATTTTTTTCTTTTATTTTTTGTCATTGACTAATTGAAAAATTTAGTTACTTTGTGAAATGTTCCACATTCTAGAATTGTATTATTTTTACACTTATAGTATCTTTCTGTTTTCCTTTCTTTTCCCCCTCACTTTTGATCTTTTTATATTCCAAAATATCTGTAGAAAAGGTTTAAATATTTTAAAGAAGATTATGACAGAATTGATTTGTATTCATGGTTGTTTGTATATCTTTGCAAAATTCTGTATTTCTAAATCTAGCATGTAAAACCAAGTTGTTATGCGCTAAGCAGCCTGTGCTTCATGATGATCCAGGTTTTCAACTAGGTTCTCATTTCCCACATGTCATCTTGGGGCAGCACAGACTTCACCCACGATGTGCAAATGTATATGACATCTTGGGTGCTATGAATATTGGTTGTGACATAAATTTCAGCTCTTCGTAACTTTATTTTTAATAAACTGCATGGTTTTTGTTTGTGTTTTCATTTTAGGAATCTGTTGATTAAAACTTCCAATTGATGAATGAAAGGTTGGACAAGGAAAACAAAATAAACATATTCACTGTGTTTAAAAAAAATACTTTCATTTGGTCTTATTTTATACTTTCACTGTTGGGTTCTTTCTAGCCTTTGGTTTTGAGATCTGAATACAGGTTAATACAGGGTAAAGGCAATACAGATTAAAGGCAAAGGTATAATTTAATCTTACATTCTTAATTAAAATAGAGTACACTCTTTAAAATAGTCTCTAGATTTTTGCCACTCGAAATACTATACATACACATGTGTGAGTAGTGTGTTTGTTTAATATAAGATAATTAGGTATTACTGAAAGCAAAATATTTTATTTGAGTAAAAATAATCAGTAATCTCTAACTTCAGTCTCTTAATTTGCCTATCTCTCCCTCAGGGTGAATCCTTGCAAGGTTACTAAATGTCCTACCAATATCAGTGTTGTTTGTGTTATAATTATTTCCCCGTATTTCAAAAGTTAAATATTTTCCTGTTTAGTAAACACAGAATATTTTCTTATCTGGGGTATCAGGCAATGCATAAACTGATTAATGCCTATCTTTTGAGATACAATTTATTGAAATTGGCAATCTTACCATTCTATGTACCTGTTTCATCAAAGCTATAATTCTTTTCCATGAACATTTCCTTTTTCAGAAAATTTATGCTAGACTTTCAGTATTCATTTTAAGGAAAATTTATCAACTGTTCCATGATTCTCTCAGGCTTTTTAATCATTCCTTTTGTTTCATTACCATGGCATGCTATACACACCTGTCTTAAAAACTTTCATTTTGCTATAGAAAATGGTTATTTACAAATATAACTCTTTCTTCTGAAAGTAATTTTTATTAAATGTATGGACACTTATCTACAAATGGAAGTGTATTTTTAAAATATCTTAAAATTGAAATGCAACATTAGGAAATGTGGGTATTGGTTCTAGAATTATTAAACTTGCTTAAATATTGAACTTTCAGGAGAAATACAGTATCTTAGTTTTCTATTTCGATGTGATTAGAGTATATTATGTTCTATTACCTTTAAATTTTAGGTATGATCCAAAAACAGACACATGGACCATGGTGGCTCCCTTGAGTATGCCCAGAGATGCTGTTGGTGTGTGTCTCCTTGGTGACAGATTATATGCTGTTGGTGGCTATGATGGGCAGACATACCTCAACACCATGGAATGCTATGATCCACAAACTAATGAGTGGACACAGGTAAGGTTGTCATCCTTGCAAGTTACTTCATTTCCTTCTTTTGGAGAAACGCAATACAAATAGTAATCTACCAAGTCATATTACTCTAAACCAAAAGTGATTGATTCAGTCCAATGTTGTGTTAGGTCTAAAAAATTATTAAATAATGTTTTAAGTAATTTCCTCATATACATGGAATGCCTTAATAAATTTATATTAAAAGGAGTCACTCATGTTTCAATGGGATTTCCACTTAATTGTAAGTGATAAGAAACAGGAACAGACTGAGTTAGTTGAAGAAAAAATAAAAATGAAATACGTTTCTTCAGAAAACCATAATGTTAAGAAGGACATACAGCTTCAGAAATAATTTGAATAACTTAATAGGAGACTGTAGAACTGAACCTTTCTACCTGTCATTTTTGTTTGGCAATGTATTTTCACTAAAGGAGATTTTCCACTTGATGGTGCTTCTAAAAGCAAGGTTAATTATCACAGCCATAAACAGAAAATTATTTTGTCCCAGTTTAATTGAAAAATGCAGAGCAAAGAGCTTAAATAGCCCATCATGTATCAAGTACTGATTTCTTTTTTTTTTTTCCTCTTTTTTTTTTGGTACCGGGGATCAAACTCTGGACCTTGTGCTTGCAAGGCATGCGGTGGAGCCACTGAGCTAAATCCCCAGCCCAAGTGCTGATTTCTTGACAATCATATTTCCCAGGAAGATAGAAATAACTGACTTCTCTTAGGTCAGAAATTATCTTTTGAGTATCCAGTGAAGGTAGAAACTCTGGATCATGTTTGAGTGTTGCAGCTCCCATTCTGATTATGTACCTAAAGTATATGTATTGGTTTTATGCGAGGGAGGAGAAAGAAGGGATGAAGGCTGGGGAACCTAATTATAGTGAGAATACCTTACATTTTATAGCTACTAGGACTTCTTCATAAAGGTAATGGATAGATTCTCAGACTTGTATCCTTACATTCAATTGATCCTTACTTTCCAAATTTCTCAAGAGTGCTAGTGTTTCTTTACTGAGAAATCTAGAAGAGAAACATGGTGTAAATAAATAAATAATTTCCATCAGTGAGTGTAGTAGCATGCCAAAACTGTATTTTGTTGAAGCAGATTAATAATTACATATATCTCAGGTGCTATGGTAGGTGGATGGTTCTAACTTTGACCACAAAAATGAGCTAAAATTTATCTGAAGAATATGAAAAGTGAACTAACTTTACTTTAGGCATTTTGAGTTTTAAATATACAGTACTTCCTTGATTTTGACATTCTGATGTTACGAGTTTAGCAACATTTCTTAGGCTAAATTTGAAGCACAAAAGCACATTCCTAAAAGTTGGTAAGGCACCTGTATTAAGAACTTCCCTCTCTAAAAGAAAAAAATAATAATTCAGTAATACTATGTACATTTGGCTAAGGAAAGAAAAAAAAGGAGGAATAGAGGAAAGAAGGAGAAATATTTGAAAAACTCAGTTTCCTGATTGTCTACATTTTACAATTATGAAAAATATTTCTGTCCAAAAGGCAAAAAATATAAAAAAAGGCAGTAATGATTGCTTCTCATACTATTTCAATAAAATTTTTGACAATAGTGTATGCCTTTTTGAGTCACTGATATTTCCAAAGAGAATATTGCATGGATTAATGATTGTTGATCTGCCAAAAAAAATGTCTCAGTTCAGTGGTATATATTGTAGATGCAGCACTTATATAAATGAACATTAAATAAAGGAATTTTATGAGTATATAAATGATGTAGCACAATATCTTCATTACATATTTATAATAAAGGACCATTATGCGTATTATTTCTGTAATATTGAAATCAAAATAACGTATGTAGCAATAATAGGTAAAAACCTTCTAAAGACTATTTCCTCACATTTGTATTTCATTACACTCTTTTAGATTGTATAGTACCTTACAAACAGCAAAATAGTATTTAAAATATTTTATAACAACTTTACTTTAGTACAATAAACATTAATCTAAAATCTCTTAAATTACTTTAATATTTTACTTCTGTATCCTTTCATTATTTATATTTTTAAGACTCTCTAGAGACTATCAGCAGACCCACACAAAAACTTCTTGAAAACTTTTAGTGTTGAGCCTACTACAAAGCTTTCCCATATGTGCTAAATAATTCCTGTCAGTTTCACACCATTTACCCTGTAAGTGGATAAAGTTAATTGCTTAGCTCATATGTCATTGACTCCTACAAATGCTTACCAATAAAATAAATTTGGAAGTAATTTAAAAATATCCACTAATGTGGACAATTGGAAAACTCTCCAGGTTATCCCAAAACTGGAAATAATGAAAAATATTTGGGAGGAATTGCCATATTTATGTTGTGATATTTTTTGCAAGAAACACATACATGTGTTTGTGTGTGTGTGCATGTACATGTATTTTAAGTAAGTTTATCTCTATTGTTTAACTTTGGGATTATTTATTGCACTTGATTTGGAAAAATACAATATTTATACTTCAAAATAGAAAAAAGAAATACTTTATCTCTTTGCCATTAGCCTAGGTAAAATCACCCTTTCAAATGATGTCCTGATGTACTCTGATGCTGCTATGCTGTGTCCATCAGCAGGCTGTAAGGAATCACAGGCAATGTATCATTTAGTATTTTGACTCCAAAACCTAGAATAATTTTGGACGTGTGGTCCATTTATGTGGATGATTCTCACAAGAATTAATGGGGAATATTTTTAGATAAGTTTAGTCTGTAATATTTGAATATTTTTATTTGCACAAAATAAATGTGTCGGGAATTGTGAATGAGTTTCAAGAAAGCCTGAGGAGATAGCAACCAACATGCACAGTTGCTTTTATCTAATTCATTCTGTGGACAACCCTTATGTGCTACTATATTACTTATGCTGAAATATATAAACTCTGGAGGGAGAACAACTGCAGATTTTTACAAATAAATTAACTTGGAGCATGAGGTGAAAAATAAATTCTCAAACATTTGAAGTGATTTATGTAGCAAATACTCAGAGCTTAAAATAGTGTGATTAATTCTTTGGTAAAGGGAAATGCTTAGCACTATGATAGAACCTAAGCATCTGAGGTAGAGAAATCTTTCAGGAAATGATATGTTGGATGAGGCTTGAGCAATGAGTAATAGTTACCCAGGTGAAATGATGGAGAAATTTGGCTTCAAAAGCACATTAATAAGAGAAGGAAGGACATATGGTATGTTTCATTGAGCAAGAAATAAAGTGGTAAGCAGTGAGCTTTGAGACATAAACAGTTGTATATTATGTTCAGCCAGAAATCATGTTAAAGAGCCTTGACTTGAAGACCTACAGAAGTTAATGAAAGATTTTAAGGTGGTAAGGTAAATAACTAGAATTGTGTTTAAAAATGATGCACTTGACAGGATCTGACAAATAATTAGAAGAAAGTAAGATTAGAGAGAGAGAGAGAATGATATTAAGAGAATATGTTATTAATCTACTCAAGGTATAGTAACCTAGATTAAAACCTCAGGAGTGGAAGAATTACACTGGTGTTATTCATTTAAAGGGTTTGATGATTATTCAAATGTGAAGTTGAGTGAGGTAAAATAAAAGGTCATGAAGATGCCTTATATTTATCTTGACAATTTAATAGAAAGTGGTGTCATTCATGACATGTGAAACATGGAGCAAATAGCACTTTTGTTACACACTGAAAGGACTCATTTCCCCACACACATATGCACACATGCGTGTATAGAAATAGACAAATATAGATATAGGTATGAATAAAAAGTGAAACTACTCAAACTATATAAAGTCCACTGCACAGTGCTCTTCAGTATTGAATGAACAGAAGGTGTCAGAGAGGAAATTTTAAAAAATATAGTTACCTAGTAGTCATCATATTTCTATTGACTGGTAGGTCCTATTTTGTAAAACCTTCTTAGATGGTTCTCATATGAAACGACACTTGAAAATAATTAGATAATGAGAGACAATGGTAAGTGCATGTACTTTGAAGGTAGATGCAGTTGCATCTGTGTACTTAGATGTTGTGAGATTTACATGCCTTATGAAGCATAGAGAGAAAATGATACAAAGTGTGAATATAAAAAAGGTTGTGGTGATTTATACAAATTATTCTTAACATAAAAGAGACTATCAATATATTCACCTGGCCCTATCTTCTCATTTTAGACAATACTTTTATAAGGAAGAAAATAATCGTGCATTAAATTTACTATTAGAACTTATGTATTAAGTAAAAGAAATTAAAATAAATACATAAATTCTTTTAAATCTACAATAGGATGATGAGTAACAATAAATATATTTAAAGAACTGGAAGATAATAGAGGTTGTTTCTGTACTTAGAAAATAAGAACATGTCCTTTCTGAATGAGAAACATAATTTGTGGTCAGAATCTTTTTTTCGTAGCTATTTTATTTCTTACATTTTACTCTCTTTACAATTTGAAATAATGCCTAAAAATATCTAATCTAGCTTGATATCTTTAGAAAACCATAATAAAATGGTTTTGATATAAAAACTCAAAATATTAGCTAAATTCTAAAAACTAAATTTTCATCATGAACTTTGTAAAAATTGTTATTTTAATATGTCTAACCATTTTCACATTCAATATTATTTACAATTTTCAGTCCCTCATTCCAATTATTTTCATAAGGTGAAAAATTAATAATTCCTATAGCAATTGTCATTATAGTCTCTTTATGACAAAATATTGATGTGGCTTCATTGCATGTGTCTATTTGAAATGAATGAATAAGACATTTAATTGAATATAATATCTGGGGAAATAAGTTGAAATGATTGATATAAATGTAATAGCTATTTCTTCTAAGATATACTCTATGTTATTACTGTGAAATAATATCACAAAAGTGTCTGTGCAGATATCAGAATAAATCTTTCTGGGAAACTTTTATATAGCAGGTTCATTTCACTAAAATCTATTTTATTTTCTTCATTAAAATGTCTTAAGTGATTATAGGTTTTACAATTCTTAATATACAAATTATTACCTTTAAAATACCATTTGAGTGTTTCTTTTTTATTGTACTACTTCTAGCTGAAGTGGGGAAGTGAAAGCACATTTATTTATGATTTTCATTTATATGAAGTTTCATTATAATTTGCATATTTAATTATGAGAGTAAATTTGTCTTAAGCTGTGTCTCATCTCTTTCAACAGATGGCTTCCTTGAATATTGGAAGAGCTGGTGCATGTGTGGTAGTCATCAAGCAACCTTGACTTATTTATTTCATTTGGAGGGATTTTATTTGCTACAGTGATTATTTTTATATCATATGGCAAGAAAGAGAACTTTCTGAGATAAAAATTCTGTAAGAGCGAGGATTTCTGTAAATTTACCTATTAATGTCCAAAAAAAAAGGTAAAAGATGGTTCAAAATTATAGGAAAGAAGGGAAAACATCAAACTGGTAGAGGAATATGTGTGGCCATATGTTAGTTTAGGAATGGTTATTGGTAATTTGCTTTGTATTGTTAGTATACAAGAACTAGGGTTACCAAAGGCTTGTTTTTCTTGAGCAGTTGAAAGGAGAGACCAATATTTGTGACACTGATAATTTCATGACTACAAATCATTCAATTGCTTTATGATCTATGGCACTATTCAAAATATTGTCAAGCGTAGAAGTATATCATCTCACAAACTCTGATTGATTTAATGTTTCCTAATCAGATGTAGTCATACCAGGAAACAGAATCATATTTTATTAAAATAAATCTGCTTTTACTCATTTTCCTGAGCTATGGCAATTAGAGAAACAGATTCACATTTGTCTCTTGCATTCAGAAAACAAACTGTCCTGCTAATCAAACCTGCGTGTTTCATCAGAGATGATGATTGAATTTATTGCAGCCATCTCCACAATCTGAAACTGGCAAATTAGAACAATTGCTTTCATTAGCCTTGCCATATTGCTTTGCATTTTCAACACACTGAGCCAAAGAACCAATATCATCATGGCCTTTTGTTGAGTTCAGTGTAAGCATGGAAGCTAGTTATTCTGAAATATATATATATATATGTATATGTATAATATATACATATACATATATATATATATATATCCACTGCATGTTGAACTCCTTTAGAATTTCATTCTTAAGAATCTTAGAATTTTGAAGGAAAAAGACATGATCCCTTAAATTGGAGTGTTTATGATTATTGCTATAAGGAAGACAGGCTTCAGATTCTCATTTCCCATTCTACACACTTGTTACATTGATATGTACTTTATTTTAAACAAGATGTTTGTAATTGTTTAAAGCATACATTAGAAACATTACATAATATTCTTAATAAACAGACCTGTGTAAATTTTAAATACAATTAATAAATGATGGAACATTTGCTTTTATCAGTGTATCTTTCTTCAATAAATTTTAATTTATATTTAAGTTAAAAATGACAAGATATAATACAAAACAAGCAATTTCTTTTGAATTAGTTTCAATATTAAAGAAATATATATTTTCATCAAAGTATAAGCTCTTTTTCTCCTAAATGTAATACTATGCTGACACTAAATGCAATTTTAATAATTACCTTTTTATGTAGTCGCTAACAAGGCAGTAAGCACTAGCTCTTAGAAAATGCACATCATATAAGAAATTAAGAATTGTGCACAAGTTAAATAGGAGGGTAAATCCCTCCTTTGAAGTAAATGTAAATTATGAAATAGTTTTATTGTGAGGAATAAAAATGTTTAAAATCTAACACCATGGAAAGTATTAATAACAGTCTCAAGAAAATATTACAAAATAATGGAATTTCTTCAAATATACAAGTGGTCAAATTCATTACAATTGATTTCCAGAAAAAGATATGACTATAAGAGGCTAAGACAGTATGAATTATTATAAAATTATGTTGCCTATTTTTAATTTGTGATTTTAATGTTCTCACTAGTTACAAAAATTAACATAAATGGATTAAAGATTTAAGTGAATGACCTGAAACTATGAAACTACTTAAAGGAAACATAGAGAACACACTTTAGGACACTGAAGTGGGGAAGAATTTCTTAGAGAAGATCCAATCACAGGAAGCAAAAGCAAAAGTAGAGAAATGAGATTAAATCAAACTAAAAAGCTTCTTTGCAACAAAGGAAGCAATCAACAGAATGAAGAGACAACTACAGAATGGGAGAAAATGTTTGCAAGTTACACTTCTGACAAGAGAATTTGGAGTATATAAAGAAGTCAAAGAACTCAACAAAATTTCAAATATCTTGATTTTAAAAATGGGCAGTAAAACGGGTATTTCTTAAAAGAAGTCATACAAATGGCCAACATATATGCTCAATATCAGTAATCACCAAGAAAAGCAAATCAGAACTACAATAAAATAGATCTTACTCTAAAAAAGAGTAGTTATTGTTAAAAAAAAACAATGGCAAAGATATAGATTAAAGAGAACTCTTGCACACTCTTGGTGGAAATGTTAATTAGTGTAGCCACTATGAAAAGTAATATAAAATTTCCTGAAGGCATTAAAAATAAAACTACCATTGATCCAGCAATTCCATTGCTGGGATATATCCAAAGAAAAGAAAACAAATATATTGAAGACATAGTTTCATTCTCTTATTTACTGCAACACTTTAAAATTAGCAAAGAAATGAAAACAAACTAAGTGTACATCAGTAGATGAATATGTAAAGAAAATATAGTACATATATGCCATGGAATACAATTCAATCATAAGAAGAATGAAAGACTACTGTTTGAAAAAATGGGTAAAATGAGATCATTCTGTTAAGTGAAGTTCAACAGAAACAGGAAAAATAGCTGCTGCAGAATCTCAATCGTATATGCAATATAAAAATATTTATTTGTGGAGTTTGATGTTGATCTCTTGCTTAGCATGTGCAAGGCTTTGGATTGAATCTCTAGCAACAAAAATCAAATAACCAAACAAAAATAAAGTGCTTGTTCTATAAACCAGGAGGGAAATGGTAGTATAAAAGAAACTGGGTAGTATAAGTGTAAGGTTGATGAAAGGGAAATAGATTAATTACATAGAAGTAAGAAGTTTTGATGTGTTATTATTACTCAGAATTTACTATACAGAAGAAATGACACTTTTGAATCTATATATTGGTAGTTAAAATGACAGTAAAGAAAAATCAAATTGATCTGATTATTTTTTGCTTTACATTTTCATGATAAAAATAATTATCAAACTGCTTTATTAGAATGTAGAGAAATCCTAAGTAATTTTGAATAAATTCAAAAACAAAAATAGAAATTGTGCTATTGGGTATTTGGGGCTTAAAGAAATATTGAAGAACTTTTACTTTAGGGGAATTAATATTACCAGAGTGTTCTAAATATGGTTGTACAATCATCATTTTTTATACTAATTACGCTTTAGCATTAGTATATTTTAAAGACTTTTATTTATGTGAGACAGGTTTTCCTAAACTCAATGCCATAGTGAAAACTGTATTTCTTTTATGTTTACTATTTTTCTGTGAAAATTTTCTTTGACCTATTCTCAGATGTAATTTTAGACAACTAATATTAAGACATGATTCAATGGACAGTGAAAGTGTAAAATAATACCCATCAAAAACAAACCAAAACAAATTGTGATTTCCTTAAACCCAAGTAAATCACTCTCTTTGGTTTACAATTCAGAGAAGTTAGTGATAATTTAGTTTTATAAATTAAAATATTGAAATAATGTAAGGATTAGTAATTTTGGAAACTGGATGCACCTTGAGATCATAGCATTAAATGAAATACATCAGATACAGAGGGTTAAATATCACATGGTTTCATTAATATGAGACACCACAAATACAAATTATTTAAAGAGTAAAATAAGAGAGATGGTTCGAAGGTAGACTCCGTGAAGACAGGAAGGAGGTCTTGGGAAGGAGTGAGAAGGGAAGGCAGGGTGGGGAAGAAAAAAGTCAATATTATGAAGTTTTAATATGAATACATACCAATTTTCCAAGATGAAAGTAATTATTACATATTGTATACATATACTCATAAAAATAATTTACAATCCAAAACAAAATGTATACATAATATATATGACATATGGAGAATATTTTTCTTCTTTTTTCTTTTTTCTCCTTAAATTATTTTATTGGTACATTTTAAGTATTCAATGGATTTACATTTATCATTGGGTGCTTGCACCTCTACATGATGTATCTTGGTTTTTATTTTGTTTCCAATTACCTGTGCATACTTCACTCCCTCCACCTTTCACTATTTACAAAGACTTTGTTTCCATTTTTTTCCTTTCTCATAATTTTTCCTTTCCCTTTTTCCTTTCCCCTTCCCCTCCCACCACCCCTACCGCTTTGGACCTTTTCTTATTTCAAAGTATCAATTATTCATTATTAATACCTTTAATCCTTATTTACACTTTCAGTTTCTCACACTAGAGAAACTATTCGGTATTTACACATGTGTGTCTTATTTATTTCACTTAAAGAGTGTGTCCTCAATATCCATCCATTTAGCTGTAAATGACTCTAGTTTCTCATTCTTTATGGCTGAGTAGTACTCCACTCTATTAAAAAAACCCACATTTTCTTTATCCAGTTTGCAGTTGATGGGCACTTGCGCTGTTTCCAAGCTTTAGCTATTACAAACTGTGCCACTATAAACATGGGTGCACATATATCACTGTGGTATGATTCTTTTAATTCTTTGGAGAAGATACCAAGCAAGGAAATACCTGGGTCAAATGGGACCTCCAGTCCTACTTCTTTGAGGTATCTCCATGCTGATTTAGATAGTGGTTGCACCAGTCTACACTCCCACCAACAAAGGAGAAGGGTTCCTTCCTCCGCACACCTCCACCAGCATTTGTTGTTGGTTGATTTCTTGATAGCAGCCACTGTTTCTGGGGTGAAGTGGAATCTGAGTACTGTTTTCATCTGCATCTCTCGAAGGACCAGTGATGTTGAACATTTGTTCATATGTTTATTTGCTGCTTTTACTTCTTTGTCTGAGAAATGTCTGTTAATTTCAGATGCCCATTTTTGAATTGGGTCTTTGAATTTGGGGGGTCTGATTCCTTTCAATTCTTTATATATTCTAGATAGTAGTCCTTTGAGGTACAGCTGCTAATTTTTTTCCCACATTATAGGCTCTCTCTTAGGTCTGTTGGTGGTTTCTCTTGCAGTGTGGAAGCTTTTAAATAAGATGAGATTCCAGTTGTTGATTCTTTCTGCTAGTTCCCGTGCTACTGAGGTTTTGTTCATAAAGTCTTTTCCTATACCAACGTCTTCAAGAGTTCTACCTAACTTATCTTCCAGCAAGTTTAGTGTTTCTGTCTTGATATTTAGATCTTTAATCCACTTTGGTCTTACTTTAGTACATGGTGAGAGGTATGGGTCTAGTTTTAATCTTTGGCAGGTTGAAATCCAGTTTTTCCAACACCATTTATTAAATAGGCTATCTTTCCTCCAATGACGGTGGGTGGCTCCTTTGTCAACAATGAAGTGGCTGAGTAGTCTGGAGTTGTTTCTGGATCTTCTGATGTATTCCACTGATCCTTGGGTCTGTTTCTTTGCCAGTACCATGCTGTTTTTATCACAGTACCTTTGTAGTATAGTTTCAAGTTGGGGATTGTTATGCACCCTGCCATGTCTCTGTTGCCTAGAATTGCTTTTGCTGTTCTAGGTCTCTTCTGGTTCCAAATGAATTTTTGGATTGTTTTCTCTACTTCTGTGAAGTATATTGTTGGAATTTCAATCAGTATTTCATTGAATCTATATAGTAGTTTTGGAAGTATGGCTATTTTCGCTGTATTGGTTCTTCCTACCGAGGAACAAGGGATGTCTTTCCATTTTCTTATATCCTCGATCTCCTTTTCCAGAGTGCTATAGTTTTCAGTGTAGAGGTCTTTTGCTTCTTTTGTTAGATTGATTCCTAGATATTTCATTTTTTGGATGCTTTTGTAAAAGGACTTGTTTCCCTAATTTCTCTCTCATTGAGTCTGCAATTTGTGTATAAGAAGACTATTGTTTTATGACTGCTGACCTTATATACAGCTACTGTACTGAATCTGTCAATTAAGCCTAGAAGTCTTTTGGCAGAGTTTTTTGCGTCTTCTATGTAAAGTATCATATCATCAGCAAATAATGACAGTTTAATTTCTTCCTTTCTTATCTTTATTCCTTTTAATTCTTTTTCTTTTCTAATTGCTGTGCACAGCTAATGTTTCCAGAACTACATTGAACAAGAGTGGTGATAGTGGGCATCCTTGTCTTGTTCCTGATTTTAACGTGAAAGTTTTCTGGTTTTGACCATTTAGTATGATTTTGGCTATTGGATTTTCATAGATAGCCTTAATCAGGTTGGGATAAAG